CCCGCCTCACCCCCACCCAATCCCCCCCGCGCACCCCCGAGTGCCCAGATGGCTCGGGAAAAACCAGCGCTCGGGATTATCGAGCGCCTTGGAACCACAAATCCCCTTCCCACCCGGCACGTACGATGCTTTTTCCGAGATAATTCCCCCCGCTGTGGGATGTTTCCCCCCCTCCCGGCTTTTTCCACCACCCCCCTCCCCTTTTCCCACCCCTTTCCCACTTGTCTGGAGTCCCCCCCGGCTTTGCAGAGTGGGCAGGCCGGGCACCCACGGACTGCTTTGCACTCCGATTATTCCTGCAGCCTCCCCCAACCCCCCCGGCCCTCCACACGCCCCCGGTAATTTTGGGGTGGGGTCGTGGCCCGGCACGTACCGTTACCTGCGGCGCCGCTCGCGTCCCCCCCGGCGCTGCCTCATCCCCGAGGGTGGGCACGGGGAGTCCCCAGCCCGCGGGGCCGGTGCTGAGCCTGCCCGCGGCCGCTGCTCCCCAAAACGGGGCGTCACGGCTCAGCTGCTCGGGGGGCTCCACGGGGCTGCGAGGATGCAGGGATGGGAAGATGGAGGGACGCAGGGACACGGGGATGGGAGGAGGACTCGGGAATGGAGCGCTGCAGGGACGGGAGGACGCCGGGCAGCACGGATGCAGCTGCCAGGATGGCGGGATGGCAGGATGCAGGGATGGGGGATACCGGGCAGCACCGGGAGGCGGGGATGAGAGGCTGCCGGGCCGCCGGGAAGCGGGAGAGCAGCGCTGCAGGGAGAGAGGAAGGTGGGGACGCGGGGCACCGGGACCCTCCCCGGCAGCATCACCGGCTCCGCCGCGCTCCCGCCTGGCTCGGCCGTGCCACCCCCCGGCCCGGCGCCGCCACTGCACCCCCCCGCCGCTCCCCGCTCCCCCGGGGCTACGCGCGGTGCTCGGGGAGTCCGGGCGCCCCCGACCCCACGCCCGGCACCGGCAGGAGGCGGCCCCCCGGAGGGGGCCTCCCTGACGCCGTCGCCCACCGGATGGGAACGGGGTGGGGGGCGGGGGGGAGATGGGAGCGTGGGAGGGGATGGGGATGGGCTGAGATTGGGATTGGAGAGGGATTGAGTTACGGGCCTGGAGGGGGAATGGGCGGGGGATGGGGGGAATGGCGGTGGGGATGGCACTGGGAATGGGCTTGGAATGGCGCTGGGAATGGGCTTGGAATGGTGGGAATGGCTCTGGGATGGTGGGAATGGCACTGGGAATGGGCTTGGAATGGCGCTGGGAATGGTGGGAATGACACTGGGAATGGTGGGAATGGTGGGAATGGCACTGGGAATGGTGGGGCTGGGCTGGAGGAGGGGGATGAGCAGTAGAGGTGGGGGTGAGATGGGACCAGGCATGAGTGGCTTTAGGGTGGGATTGGGGTTGGGGTGGGGCCTGGAACAGGGAATGGAGATGGGATGAGATAGGGCAGGGCTGGGACTGGGAATGGGATGGGAGTGAGGATGGGATGGGAGTGGGGATAGGGCTGGGGTGAAACTTGGTTTAGGACTGGGGCCAGGAGCAGAATCAGAATGGACACGGGATAGAGAAGGAGATGGGATGGGGCCAGGGATGGGACTGGACTGGGACTGTTGGTGGTGTTTGCATGGGGCCAGGGATGGGATGGGAGTGAAGATAGGGCTGGAGTTTGTCTGGGAAAAGGACAGGAATGAGGCTGGAACGGGGCCAGGAACAGAGTGGGAGTGGGGATAGGGTTGGGGTGCTGTTGTCCCTGTGCCTGGGGCCACCCACGCTGTCGGGGAGCCCGTGGGGTGTTGTGTTCCCCATAGCCAGGGGAGCAGGAAATCCCTCCTGAACATCCAAGGCAAGGAAACGGCAGATTTTTATGTTTTTCTATGAAGAATTGGAAATAGGGAGAACATCCCATAGGACAGTGACCCTCCAGTGAGACTGAGGGGTAGACAGGCCCTGAGGATGCTTCAGGACCCCCCAAATCCCTCAGCACAAAGAAGGGACCCCCCAAAAGGCCCCGCCATGAAGGTCCCACCAGCACAAAACATTCTCCTTGTCATGGGCTCCCCGAGTATTTATTAGAATATTTTATCATATCTGAGGGAGGCAAACTCAGCCCTGCTTGATCTCCTCCAGTTGCAACTCCCTTTTGAAAGGGATGTTCGTACAGGGAGTGACCTGCTCCATGAATAAATTGACTCTGCCTCCGTCTCTCCCTGTCCTGGAATGTTGTGGAGACAAGGGTGGGCTGGAGAGGCTGCTTTGCATAATTAATATTTATCACTCCATCCCGAACAAGCACAATCCCCCCCGTTCATCCCCAAAGAGTGGGGGGCTGTGTTGGCAGAGGGGAGGCAGCTCTTTCCCTTTGGAAATCTCATCACTGGGCTCCTAACGAGGGGTCCAACCCCCCCTGGCACCCACGGACACCCATGGGTGGGCACGGGATGGGGCACAGGATGGGACACGGCGCTGGATCAGCCTGGACAGCAGGAAATGGGAATGGGGCAACCCCCGACCCCTGCACACCCCAGCACCCCAAAATCCCTGTTGAGGTGATGGGTGCCCTTTGCAGCAGCTGCCCCCAGCCAGAACACATTCCCAAGGTGCAGATCCAGCTGCTGGCAGCGGGAATTGTCCCGTTCCCTGCCGGGTTTGTGGGACGCTGGGGTTGGATCCGCGCCTCCAGCCTTTTGTCTGCGGGAGAGGAATTAATTATTTTGTTCTCTCATTACCCTGGACTAAAAATCCATTTCTGAGCAGCATAAATTTAGGTGCCTGAAGTGGCTATTTTAACATCCCGGGAAACATTTCTCTCCCTCTCTCGCCCTTTTCCCAATCATTTCTGTCTCATTGGCAGCCATCGATGTTCTGGATGAAGCACAAGATGGAGGGACATTATCCAAACCCGGCAAACGGCCCTTCCTGGGTGGAAAATGGGATGGCCAGGCTGAAGCGGGGTCCCCACGGTCCCCCCCAAACCCCCCGGGCTGGGGGTCTGGGACAAATCCCAGCTCGGGCAGAGCGGAGTCTGAGAACGGCCCCGGGAGGGAGCGGCTGCCGCCGTGTGCTGCTCAATTGTTTGGAACATAAAATGGAAATTAATACACGGGGTGACCCCCCCGGCATCCCCCCTTCCCCCCAGCGCCGCTCGCCTCGTTAATTGAACGGCGCGAAGCAAATGAGGTCAGAGCTCACTTGAGCCAGACAAGGACACGGGAACACGCGCGGCTGCCGGCGAGGCAGGGCTGTACCTGCCCGTGTTTAGCATTCCTGCCGGGATCCGCTCATTAAAAACCTAAAAGGCGGCTTAAGCATCCCATTAGAGCCTCGCCGGGCTCTGGAGCCTTCCCTCGCAGTCGCGTTTGCGGGGAGAGCGGCGTGGCAGCCGGGCACGGGGAGGGGGTTTGCGGCTCCTGCCCCGTCGCCGGCTCTTCGGGGGGCTTTGGGGGACTTTTCTTTGGGGAACTCTTCTTGGGGTCCCTGCAGATCCCAGGGGTGAAAGAGGAGGGAGAGATGCTGAGGGTGAGAGGGGTGGGAGAGGTGCTGGAGGCCGGGATGCTGCTGGAGCATCCCAAAACCTGAGCCTGGGTCAGGCTCCTGCTGCTGGGGATGCCCAGGGCCCCCCTGCCCCATCATCCCCTCTCTTTCCAAGGAGATCCCCTCAGCCAGGCTCCCACACCGTGCCTCAGTTTCCCCAGCTCTGGCAGGGCCTTGGCTGTGGGTGCTGACCCTTCCCATTTTCCAGGTGTCCCCAGGGATGTTCCCAGCACCGATTCCTGCTCCGGGGTCATTCCTGCAAGTGCTGCTCCAGCCCTGCCTGGCCGTGGATCACCAGGATTTTGGGAAGTGGCACACGAGGATCCTGTGGGACCCCTCCCAATCTCCCCTCAGCCAGGACAACCCAAGGGGCCCCGTGCCAGGGCTGCAGGCACCGATCCCATGGGAGGCTCCGTTCCTGTGGCACCGGATGCTGTCACAGCTGGGGACACCACTCCTTGTGTCCCATCCCAAACAGGACCCCAGCAAGTGGTGAGCACCCCGAGCCACCCCGGGGCTGCTCAGCGCCCCAGCCAGGAGCACCCAAACTTCGGGGCCTCTCTCAGATGGCACCTGAGAGCCACCTTGTGCCACCTCCTCAGGCCTTTGGCTTCTCCATCCTCACCCCAAGGAGCCAACCCAGAGCCCAGCATCTCCTCTTTCCAGAGGAAGCTCAGGCATCCAGCTCTTTCATTCCCTCTTTCCCAGCATCTCCCTGCATCCTCCTCCACTTCCTCCCTCTTCCCTTTCTCCCTCTATTTTTTTTTAAATTTTTTTTTTAAGGCAAGGAATGAGTTGTCTTCCCGCAGATGTGACTAAAAGCACTCTGGAAATGTCAGCCACTGCTGGAAAGGGACCCAGATAACATTTAGCTTTAGGTAAGAGAGTAGATTTTCTCTGCACTAATTCATATTTATAAGCTCTCGTGTTCCCGGGGAGAGCGCGGCGCTGATGGCACTCGCTGATTGCCAGCGCGCGGAGCAGGGAATTGTTTTCATATCCGAGATTAAAGAGTGGTTTCTGCTCCCAGTGGCACCTGTGTATTTACACTGGTCATTCTCAATTCATTCTTATAAGATTAAGACTGGAAATGGGAAATGGTTATAAAGTGCTGAGCCCGGAGGGGTCGGGGGACGTGACGGGGACGGGGCAGAGCCCGGACCCTGCACCGGGAGCAGCTCGGTCCGAGGAGGGGCACGGGAGATCTGCTCTCCCTGGGTGGGAAAAGTCCATCCAGAGGGAAAACCCTCATCCAGACCCTGCGGGATGGTCACTCTGAGTGACCCCAGCAGGGATGGGTGGGGATGTTTGGGATGGATGAGGATGG